CCATCTATGGACTCAAGCAAGCTCCTCGTCAATGGTATCATAAGTTTCAACAAATAGTTATCTCGTTCGGTTTTGAGATGAACATTGTTGATGACTGTGTATATCACAAGTTCAGTGGGAGTAAGTATATTTTTCTGGTTCTGTATGTGGATGACATCTTGCTTGCCACTAATGATATAGGCATGTTGCACGAAACCAAGAGATTTCTATCAAAGAATTTTGAGATGAAAGATCTTGGGGACGCCTCTTTTATATTAGGGATCCAGATACATCGAGATCGCTCTCGGGGTATTCTTGGATTATCATTATCACAAAAGAGCTATATCGATAAGGAACTTAAAAGGTTTGGCATACAAGATTGCAGACCAGGTGACACCCCTGTTGCTAAAGGAGACAAGTTTAGTCTCAATCAGTGCCCTAAAGGTAACCTTAAAATTCAGGAAATGCAGAAGGTTTCTAATGCTTCGGCTGTAGGAAGTCTAATGTATGCTCAGGTATGTACGCGTCCGGATATTGCGTACATTGTTGGGATGTTAGGCAGATACTTAAGCAACCCTGGTATGGATCATTGGATAGCAGTCAAAAGGGTTATGAGGTATCTTCAGAAAACAAAAGATTACATGCTCACATACAGAAAATCAGAGAAATTAGAGGTCATTGGGTATTCGGACTCTGATTTTGCTGGATGCCAAGATAGCAGGAAGTCTACATCAGGCTACATTTATATGTTAGCAGGAGGAGCTATATCATGGAAAAGTGTCAAACAAACACTAGTAGCTTCCTCCACTATGGCAGCAGAATTTGTAGCTTGCTATGAGGCATCCAATCAGGGAATATGGCTGCGAAATTTTGTCACGGGACTGCGCATTTTGGAAAATGTTGAAAGACCACTAAGGCTATATTGTGACAATAAATCTGCAGTAATGTATTCCAATAACAACAGGAGCTCAACTAAGTCAAAACATATTGACATTAAGTTCCTGGTTGTGAAAGAAAGGGTACAGAGTGGACAGATATCCATAGAGCACATTGGGACAAACTCCATGATAGCTGATCCTCTTACTAAGGGATTGCCACCTAAGGTCTTTCATGAGCATACTGCTCATATGGGTGTGGTATTATTTGAGGATATTATGTTTTAGTGGGAGTTTGTATTTGTGGTGCTTTATGTTTGGTTGTATTGTCTGATCAGAATAAAGTATTCAGTTAAGACACTCTGTTACATTATGTTTGGTTTTGACCTCACTAAGGAGGACCAGTTGAAAATAGACATGTACTGATCACATTGCATGTAATTTTCATGCTGCACATCCATGATTGATCTATGTCATTTGATTGTATTGGTATATGTGACCATTGATGGGTCGAGTCACGATAAATGTGACGAAGGCCGCTTTGATCCTATATTGATATAGTCAATGGACGAGATTGTTCGAAAATACCTTTTCAGTGATAGCAATTTTGAGCTCATAAGGTTATACACAATTTAAGGAATCATATGGTGCCCAAGTGGGAGATTGTTGGATTTAATCTAATAAATCTAATTGTGGGCACATATGATTAATCAATGTGTATTGCTATCTTTCAGGATAACCCACTAAAGTGATCAATTAATTTGGGTTAATTGGGTATTTAAATAAGTCATGGGGTTATATGTGCAGATACCAGGTTGTAATTGTAATTTGTTGAGGGGCCAAATTACAAATGTACAACATCTATAAATAAGGGGTTATGGTCCCTAACCTAGGGTTACATTCTCTAATTCTCTTCACCCCCATCTAGGAAGAGAAATTAGGATTTAGAGGAACCCTAAGGTTAGAAGATCATCAAAAAACCCAAATCAAGATTTCTTCTATGGATTCAGGTATAAGCTTCCGCTCATTTATGATTCTTGTTAATCTCTTTGAATTAATCATGGTTATATGGTTTTAGATCTCAAGTTTTGGTTTAGATCTACCAAGTTACAGTATCCCGTCCATCTTTAATAATAATGCTACAGTAATTCACTGTAGCGTTTATTGTAGTATGCATAGTAAAACTTTGGATCCTCCTATAAGTATAGAGGAGTAGATTTTATTAATTATCATTGATTAAATGTAAAACTATTTGCTTGAGTGAATTTTCTGTAACTTTTCTACGATCTACCTCGCCAATTGCAATATTATCAAAAAATTTTAAATTAAAATCTAATACAACAGAAGTATTTTAATGTTTTTAAATCTATTAGTTTTTCTTTATTACAAAATCCATTATGTTTTGTTTTTACATATCTGACATTGAGTGTCTTATTTGTAGTTTATTTAAATTTTACTTGCTCATATATTTTATTTTAAAAGCATTGATTGGATAAAATGTCCATTCCTAGAAACTTCCTAATTTGCACCTAAATAAATAAAATATTCCCTTCAAAACGAAATAATGGAAAAAGGAATTTCCCCTCATTCTTTCATATTTTTCTGTCCTCACTTTAATTTTTATAGTGGTATAATTTTTGATAATGATAAAGGGTTTTGAATTTTAAGACATTGGTTCTTCAAATATTATTTATGGTGATAATAAGTCCCCTAAACCTTCATATTGAAAATAAAGTTCCCAGGCTCTTTCATTGTTCAAAATTGGTCTCTATGGTTTAATTTCGTTTGCGTAATTTGAATTAAGGATGTCATTTTCCTTAACTCAAATGGAGCCTTCGGAAAATGATCTTTTGCGCTCAATTAATGCATATGTTGTATTAATTCTCGAACCCTAATATGATGAACTTGAATAAATATTGTTCTCTGAAATGAAACTAACATCTTACTCTGAAATGAAACCATCATCTTACACTTTATTGACTCAAATATAAAGTAAATTACTAAATTAATTTAAATAAATCATACCATAAGAAAAATCTACTGAACTTAAAAATATTATCCAAGGATCAGTGTTTACTATCGTATTAATGAATAAGCACAAATGGGTTTGTTGATACCTTTTTTGGGTTGTCTTTTTTCTTGGTGCATGTTAGCGGGTGATCATTTCCCTGCTAACCCGTGCCCACTGCCATGGTATATGGTGAAAAAGTGGAGGAATCAAGGCAAAAAAGAGGTGAAATCCATTACTTGAGCAAAGATTCGAGCTCTATCATCTACTTCTGGTTGCTTGGAGGAAGATGAGGCTTTGAACAATAATTTGATGGGGAGTACAAGACTAGCGGGAGCGTGGAAGAAGCTATTGATGGGTGAGATTCTGCAACATGCGAAGGTTAGTGAGTGCATCAATCCTCCTAATCTTCAACAAAGTAGGAGTGATGGTGAAGGAGTTGTTCATAGTTAATAGGGGTATAGATGGTTAAAATATATTTATATCCAAACAAATGTTTAGTTTGGATCCAAGAAGTGAATACCCATGGGCTAAACACTTTGAATGGGCCCAAAACCGAGTCCGCAACAAGTTGTAGCGAATGTCGCTTAACAAAACATGCGAACAATTTCGGGGGATGAGTTGTTGCGTGAGAACAGTTTTATTGAAGAGGATGGTGATGAAATAACTAATGAGGGTGTAGAGGGTGTTGTTGGCTTTACTCAAACTATAACACAAAGAGGAAAGAGATTCAAGAAATGAATGGAGAGCAAAGAGGGATCAAATTACAATTGAAATGTGGGAAGATTATTGTAATAAATATCGTGGTGGTGACACAACCGAGATTGGAATGTAATTTAAGTTATATTTTTCATGTATTATTGTACTCGTTGATATATTGTTTACTATCTCTATGTACTCGTTGATATTATTGTACTCATGGATAATTGGGTATATTATCTTTATGAATGCTATTTTTCGATATGCGCACTCTATTATTGTACTAACATGAGGTTTGAATTTTGTTATTTGTAGCAATCAGGCACGACAGATTGTGATGACAGTGATAAATTCAAGGATACTCCACCTAGAACATCTAGAACACCCACTTATCCATACTTCCCGGCTCCACCACCACCCACTACACTACCATTCCCTCCGCCCCAATACACCGCTCCACCTTATCCATCTTACAATCCTTACGATATCAACTACTCATTTATGACTCAACAACCCATGTCATATGTGAATATGCTTAATAGTGGCCACCCACTTATCAAAGCTTCCCTCGGTACCTACTTAGGTGAGACTCATTCTTTGAAGAGGCCAATTGCAATTGATCTTGAGGGTGAAGCTACCTCACCAAGCAAAAGCAAGAAGCGGGCAATTGCTAAAAGAAAAATGCAACCAAAAGTCTTGAACAAGAAAGAGAATATAGGGGGGGGGGGATAATGCTAAGTGGACTGTAGAGAATGATGATGTGTTAATCCCCTTTCTTGCTCAGATGGCGAAGGATGGTCTCAAAGTCGATAAAAACTATAAGGTGCTCACATATCGAAAAGCTGCGGAGGAGATCAACAAGAAGTGTGGCACTTGAGTTCACAAAGGAGAATGTCATGAACCATGTCAACTGCTTGAAAGGTAAATATTTTGATGTGCAAACTATCATGAACATGAGTGGAGCTAGTTATGGTCCACAAACAAAAATTGTCACCATGGATCCAGATTGTTTTGATAAGTGGACACATGTAACATTTTTGTTAAATAAGCAAAATTTGAATATTTACTTATGAGTAAACTGATTTTACAATATTTCATTGTATAGGACAAAAAATGCAATAGCTCTAGGTTGAAGGAGTATTTGAGCACTCATCTCATTCACTATGAGAGCTTGTGTTATATCGTGGGAGATGACCAAGCAAAGGATGATCTCACCAAAGATATGACTGAAAAGCTTGGTTCTAGGCAACATAATATAGTTGATGAGGATCATGTCGATCTTAGTGACAATGAGATTGATTTGTCCTCTAGCTCACGTCTTGAGCCCGAGAAATCAATTGGGCAAAACAACAACACTCAAGCTAAAAAATTGAAGACTTTTAGTGTGGTAGCTTCTACATCAAATGATACATCAAATCCTAGCACTACCACATATTTGCTCTAACGCAACAGTTCTAGTGCAACGTTTATGACCGTTGCGTTAGGTATCTATGGGGGTGGTTTTACAACGCTTTGACAACGGTTTACAAAAACCGCTTCGCTAGACCCAATAATTTTGATTTGGGCCGATTTTATAGGCTGGTTTGGGCTTAACACTGAAACGAAATCTCTTTTTTTTTCTCACCGCTTTACCAAATATCCCTCTTTCTCTCTCACTCAACTCATCACCCCTTTCTAAAATCTCCCTCTTCGTTCGCTCTGAGAGATCGCCATGGCCGAAATTCGTCGATCTCATCGCTTAACTCGTCGCTAATCTCTTCGCCGTTTTTCGATCTCATCGTCTCCGATCTCAACTCTGATTTCGTCGTCGATCTCGTAACTAATCTCTTCGTCAAGCTGCTGGTCTCGTCTCCGATCTCATCTCCGATATAGGTCGTCGAGCTCGCAGCTAATCCGTCTCCGATCTCACTCTCCTTTGGACTCTCAGGTACCTCAGTTCCTTGTATTTCTGATTTCTACAGTTTCTTCCCCTTTCTATTAGGGAAATTGTTTAGTTGTTGATGGCCTTTTATCTCGCAGTAGCTTACTAATCAGTTTATCTCGCAGCTAATCCGTCTCCGATCTCATCTCCGACCATTTCTCGCAGGCACAAGACGAGATTACATATTGGACAGCTAGTGAAAGATACATCAGCAAAGCTTAAACAAGGTAGTGAAAACGATCACCGTGTTGAAGTTAGCGTGAGTCTTTTACAACAAACTCCTTTCAGTAACGATTTTTTTTTTTGTATTTTGCTTTTAGAGTTTTTGCAGTGCTTTGAGAACTGTCCTCAGTATTTTACAACAAACTTGTATTAGTCATGCATTATCTGCTAATTCACCGACAGCCAGAGTGAGAGATTGTTGGGATGGAAGTTGGGGGAGGTTGTTTTTGCTTGGCACGGCAAGGGGGGCTCATGACTGTTGATCACCACTATGATTAGTGTTTAATTTGTTGTTGTGTAGATAGGGGATTAGGATTTGATTATATGGGGTTTTTTGTGGGGGGGGGATTGGTTGTGAAGAGAGGGGGTGTTTTTGTTTTGAATTTTTAATCAAAACCAAACGTATTCTGTGTGCGAAGATTAATTAGTTACAAAAATAGCAAATCCATCTTGAAGAAAGATTAATTAGTGTTCTCTCTTGGTTTGTATTTTTAATTGAGATACCATATTCTGTGTGCGAAGACAATTAAGGAACAACAGAGAATTTGGATGAAGAGATCATCTTGATTCTTTGCTAGCTTCTCCTCCTCCATGGATCACGTATACCCGTTTCGCAACACTGTAAAAATATCATAAATTGAAAAGTGACCGATATTAGAAATGATATTAGAAAATTATAGATGTTACTTGTGTGTACATAACCCACAAAAAGAGCAGATTGCGAAGCATCTCTGTAAGCAATTAATGTGATGTATAAAATGGGTGATGTTTTCACTAAAAATATCGATTACGAACAAAGTAGAGTTTGTTATGGAGGAAGCAAAACTGGCTAAACTTTGCTACGAATTGTTAATTCAACCTCAAACCGCATGTTTTCCAAGGTTCACAGAATGTTTCAATGATTTCGTGTATTTATGAATGGAAGAATTTTTCTTGAGGAGATACAAGTCCGGAATGAAGAGGGCGAGTTGAGAGATTTCTGCGAAACTGAGCCAAGCTTCTAAGTGATGATTCAGGAGAACTGTGTAACGTCTCACTTGATCTACTCTTAGAAAATACTCCTGCAAAAATGACTCCGATTTCATCAGCAGTTTTCTTATTATTTTCCTTCTCTGGAGAATATGATAGTTTTGAGCAGTTTTCATATAAACTGTTGCTAGTTTCATTCATGTTTTTGTTAATCCTTCCACTCATGCAATGTTGTGTTCATAAATTTCTTTACTTTCACTACTAATGTGACTTATATGATGTTTAAATTCCAGTGAGCAAGAAAAATAAGAAAGAGAGCTACCAAGAAGAGTTAGAAGAGCGTTTAATCTCGTTGATTACATCATTATTTGGTAAGAAGGTAACTTAACTTGTTTCTTAAAAGCGTTATGATATTATTCTTATAGCAATGTACCATGACTATGCTTCTAACTGTTGAAGTGTTGAATGCACTTATGTCTTTAGTAGTTATTATATTATTATTTTGTAGGATATTCACAACAATGAAGTATCAATTGCATGCCACCTTTTAATATAAAGTCCTTCTCACTTGTATTTTTTTTTTAATCTTCAGAATAGTACGGTTGTAGCATATATGACTTGCAATGTAACTGTTAATAGTGTTAATCAGAATAATGTTGATTGAATATATTGTTATTAATGGCAACAAGAGGATTGATTTTTACATTTTATTAATCACAATATTTATATGTAGTTATTAATAGTGTTATTCAATTTTTTTCTTTCTCCAGACCATATAATAAATGGCGGAAAACAGAGATTGGATGTATAATGCTCCTAGAGTGAGTGTGGAGTTCATTAATAATGTCAATGACTTTCTTGAGAGAGCATTTGCTAATGGAGCAGTAGGGGATGAAATATGTTGCCCTTGTCGCATTTGGGATGAAATATGTTGCCCATGTCGCATTTGCTGTAATCGTTTTTGGTATAGTCGTGATGTTGTTTATGATCACCTTATTGTCAAAGGATTTGTGGAGAATTATTATGATTGGTTCTTTCACGGAGAGGGTGTGTCATCAAGGATGGATGTTGATGACAATAATGAAGAAGTTGATGATGTTGCTGATGATGCTCAAGACAACATGGATGAGTTATTGCATGATTTATTTAGAGATGTAGCAGAAGAGTCTCCAGTGAACCAAGAAGATGGCCTAAGTGACGATGAAGAAAGGTTAACAAAGGAGGCAAAGAAATTTTATAAGTTAGTTGATGAAGGTAAGCAGCAGTTGTTTCCGGGATGTAAAACTTTTTCTAAACTCTCTTTTATCATCCGGTTGTATCTTCACAAGTGCATCCATGGCCTAAGCAACGAGGCATTTGATGATTATCTAGCCATATGGAGAGAGGCAATTCCTGAAATAAATCTACCAAAGTCTTATTATGAGGCCAAAAAAATTGTGAAGGATTTGGGCCTTGATTACAAGAAGATACATGCTTGCCCTAATGATTGCATGCTTTACCGTGGAGAAGATGGAGAAAAAGTTGCTTGCAGTAAATGTGGTGAAAGTAGATGGAAGGCAAATAAGCAGGATGTTCCAGCCAAGGTTTTAAGATATTTTCCTTTAAAACCTAGAGTTCAAAGACTATTCATGTGTTCTCAGACTGCTGAATCCATGAGCTGGCATGCAAAAGAGCGCCTCCAGGATGGGAATCTAAGGCACCCAGCAGATGGCAAAGCATGGAAGGATTTTGATTCCAATCATCCTGATTTTGCACTAGACCCTCGTAATGTGAGGCTGGGCTTGGCTAGTGACGGGTTTAATCCATTTCGGACTATGAGCATTTCGCATAGCACATGGCCGGTGATCTTGATAAATTATAATTTACCACCCTGGATGTCTCTAAAGCCAGAATATTTCATGTTTTCTTTGCTTATTCCAGGGCCTCAGTCCCCTGGGAATAATATCGATGTTTTCTTGCAACCGCTGATTGAATGGCCGGTGATCTTGATAAATTATAATTTACCACCCTGGATGTCTCTAAAGCCAGAATATTTCATGTTTTCTTTGCTTATTCCAGGGCCTCAGTCCCCTGGGAATAATATCGATGTTTTCTTGCAACCGCTGATTGATGACTTGAAAGAGTTATGGGAAGTCGGATTGCTTACTTATGATGCTTCAAGTAAACAACCATTTTATGTTCGTGCAGCTTTACATTGGACTATAAGTGACTTTCCAGCATTTGCAATGTTATCCGGATGGAGTACTAAAGGGAAGTTGGCTTGTCCTTGCTGCAACTATGGCACTTGTTCGCAATATTTAAAATACAGTAGGAAAATGTGTTACATGGGTCATCGTCGATTTTTGAGTGATAATCATCCATGGCGGTTAAATAGAAGAAACTTTAACGGCCATGTTGAGTTAGGAAAAAAACCTGAATCATTATCCGGGATAGAGATTATGGAGGAATTGCGTGGCTTTGTTAATGACTTTGGGAAGAAACAAAAGAAAAAATTAGAAAAGGGCTGTCCATGGAAAAAAAGGTCAATATTTTTTGATTTGCCTTATTGGGAGCAGAATACATGTCGGCACTTGCTGGATTTAATGCACATAGAGAAGAATGTGTGTGATAATATAATTGGAACATTATTAGACATTCCTGAAAAGACGAAGGATCATGTTAGAGCTCGTTTTGATTTGCAGCATATGGGCATAAGAAGAGATCTACACCCAACCAAGTCAGCTGATGGTCGGCATTTTACATTCAAATCCCTTTAAGTACTATATCTTCATTTTATTGTTCACAACAATAGTAGACAAAGAACAAGTTTGACTCTGGTCACAACAGGTCCATGCAATCCCTTAATATACTATGATCATGTGAGTCCTTATATGTTATAATTTCCCTTTCTTTGATCATGTCATACCATTAGAAAGATCATCCCTTGTGATTCATTCTCGTTCTGCTTGAGGGCTCTTTGTGCATGTGCTTTGGTCTCTCTGTATGAACTTGTTTATGTTACAATTGACCCTCTTGCAGACTCAATTCATGCTTGTATTCAAAAATTGTTGCAGTTCTTAAGGTCGTAGGTACATCTCTAGACAGGAACTTAAATCGTTACTGAAATACACTACTGAAAACATGCAAGCTGGTGCCTTGTGCCTCTAACTCTCATAGAGTGGACTAGTTAGGTCAAGGCAAAATGGCAACAGTGAGTCTATCTGTTTTTACTGTCCTGGTGGAATTTAAATTTAGCAACGCATCTTTCAACTTTGCCAATTATCAGTGAATGCGAACCATTTCGCTAAACCTTTACTGTTTTGAGAAGTACAGAATAGAGGCTGAGAGCTAGTTACCATATTCAACCCAGAAGAAACTAGTATACGTTATGCCATGTAAATTTTGTGATATTGGTAGTATTGAGAAGAGTTAGAGTAGGATCTGTAGAAGATTTTTAAGTGTGAATAAATTTATGATTAGCCCTTTTGTCTGGCAATTAGTCTAGTTCAACCAGGTCGGTGTCCAGATTGGATATATGTTTAGAGTAAACGGGTCAAAACCAGTGCTTGTTGAAGCCAATCACAGAGTATGAACAGCCTTATTAGGTTAAACTCTACCCTAGTCCAATTAGCTATGAACAGGCTCAATAAAGATTTTCAGAAAAAGTAAAAGAAAGAGAGAGAAAAAAACTTATGCTTTGCATCATCCAATGTGCAAGAATGTACGTGCTTTCCTCCTTGTTTACAGTTCTAGTAATGTCCTCTCTGTGTGCGGTTCGTGCTGACATCAATCCTATATCATCCTTCGAGTTGAATCATTCTTGGTTGTTTGATGCCAAGTTGAATGGTTTCGGGTTTGGTTGGTACTAGGTACTTTCATGACATCCTGCAGTTTGGTTTACTTATTTGATGCCTAACTATGGGTTTCCACTGCCACCTACTTGCATTCTTCAAATTTTCTGTATTGCTCCTTTAATATAAGATGGTTGTTCATACATCAATATTAAGCTGATTTGATTAGTAGTCAAATATTTGTAGGCATGGAGATTATTTAGATGTAGCACTCTATTTCTTGATGCATGGGCCTACATTTGACTCCTGCTGCAGGCAATTTATATAAGCTGATAAAAACTGATATAGTCAAATTTTGGCATTTCATGAAATTTTGTTAATCCAAATCCATTTAAATACAATATCTTTGTTTCACTTTTCAATACATGGTTTTAACGGTAATCTTATCTTTCCCGGTCTATTGATTCCCTACTCTCGCGGCTGGACACACAACTAGTTTAATGAGAAGAATGGACAAATAATGGACAGGTTTGACATTGGTCACTAGAGGTTCAATAAGTTTCCTGCATTACAAACTATCATCATGTTGCAATAATTCAAGTTGGTGATTTGTTTGTTTCTCATTTTATTATGATCTTTTGTTATGACTGTTCTATACGATTAGAGAGATGATGCCTTGCTACTTATTCTCTCTAGTAAATAAATTTGTTTCTGGCACGGTTGTCCTCTCTTGTGGACTTAAACTACATGCTTGTCTACATTAAAAATTGTTACAGATCTGAAGCTGCTATGTCCTAGACAAGTTCTGAGGTATAATTTCAAAAACATAAGTGTGCAGGCTAATGCACCATGTCTTGTACCTTTGACCACAATGGTAACCAAATTACTCGTCTTTGTTCAACTGGGAAAAAAAATAATAGCAGTTCCCTTATTTGAGCTTTATCGCAGATCAACGATTGTCAAGATTTATCGGTATCTTGATTTGTTTGATCCGGGAAGGAATTCCTTGAGCCTGAACGCAAGTTGCCGATTGCATCGAAATCTTTTGGCCAATTTGGCATCCATCTCTAACCTTCAGAAGAACTTAAGACTAGGTATCTTAGGCTTTCTCTGTGAAACATCTGATTGTAGGATATATAGAAGGTGTAATTACGAGAATGTAAGTATCCAATAGTTTTGGAGTTGATTTCCTGCATTTTTAAATTGCTGCAAACCAATCAGATCATGAAGTAAGCTTGTCATCCTCTTCAAAGGAACAGGAGATGATGAATCATCCAAGTTTGTTCCTTCTTAAAACTTTCAAAATTCTGCAAGTTGACAGAAATGGTTCATTATCCTTTTGGCTTATCTTGTGATGCTTTTTCTGTGACATAAACAGACAATTTGAGGTTTTGACATCGAATTCATACTCATCATCTCTATTTTAAATATGGTCAGATTGGTGAATAGATTGTTCCTTTTCTTCTCATTTTATAAGACTCTTATTATTCTCTGCTTAGCTATGCAGCTGTAAAAAAATATATGATGCCTCGTGTCGTGGCTCTATCTGTATACTCTCTGAATACTTCAAGGCCTCCACTTTCTGTGTGTGATTAATCTCTTCACATGCACTATTCCTTGTTGGTTGTCCTGCTTCATGGATTGTTACTTGATTTTCTATTTAAAAATAACACTGCAGATCTGAAAAAGAATGCAGATGCGCGCATACGTCCTTATGTTTGTAATGCAAAAACTAAGTACGTTGAGCAGTTCACATGCCTGGTAATAATGTCTTTTTTTTCCATGTGGTTTAGGAGCTTGTTACTCTTAAATTCCTGCTTACAAGGTTGAGGTTTATTCATTAGTGGATCATGTATTTTGCGTCGAGTTCTGGTTCCGACTATATGATCACAGTTATATATTTTCATAAACCTGGGATTGGAAGTTCTGGTTAGTGGGTGCGTTCATTCAAGATCTGAGTGTTTATTTCTTTATGCTGAATTATCTATGCTGATTTGCCAGTGTAATAACCGGCCATTGTGACCGCTGCGGACGTGCGCATGTATTATGAACCGTGACTTTGTATAGGCATGTGTAGGTTGATTGTGCTGGGCTTAAATCTTTTAGAGGTCGAGGGCTGGATGCATGTTAGAAAAGTTGTACTGTGAGCCTTCTTAGTGATTCATTGTGCCTCTCCTTTTTGGCATTGAGCACCTTGTTATTGCATGATTCCTAGGCTGGATGCAATAAACTTTATAACAAACTTGATTTCATCGATGAAAATTCTTGGAATGTAGGTGTTCTCATTGTGCTTGGGTTGGGAACTGCGTTTTGGCTTGCATTGGAGTGCTGCCAAGACTGGGGATCTCGAAGACACGTGCACGGCATAAATATACTTGTATGTATAATAATACACTTCATTATACAAAGAATGCCAGTTTCAGTTTTTGTGGGTTTTAGCTTGATCATTCTTTTCATTTATTACTAGTTAATCACTTCTCTTTGAGTGATGGAAACAGTTGGTGATTCTAGATCAAGTTCAAAAGAGAAGAGATCATTTGAGGTAAATTCTTTTAAAAATCCTATATTAGTTCATCATGGACATAAAACAGCTCTTCGTATTATTCATTTCTTGGTAACATGCTAGCTTGCATAATAACTTCTGAAGCATTCTTTGCTTTAAAAAAATTAGGACATAAAACAGCTCTTTATAAAACAGCTCTTGCATAATAACTTCTGAAGCCTACCATATTGTTTTCTATCTACATCTGAGACTTGCTACCCTCAGTTTTTCATCACAGCTTCGTATCTTTAATCTTCTAGGAATCTAGTATTCAATACATTTTGAATAGGGCAGCTTGAGTTGCTGTTGTGACAGGAAAAAAACACATTGAAAACATGTACATTAAGAAAGTATTATGAGCTTACCATATTTTGACGGGTGCTGAATAAGATGAAGCAACTTCTGATAGATATCTAGATAAATGATAGTTGCACCGACAAATTTTTTCTGAAGTATTTCTACTTCACTAGAAAGTTTGAGATTATATTTTTCTGAAGCTTTGTTACATATTAGCTTCACTAAGAAAATACATCCACTAACAATTGTTCAGCCGCCCTCCATAAAGCAAATTTGATAGCGATTTTCATTATTACCTTTGAAATTGTACAGTAATAAAGTAGATAACAATGCTCGCTTCTGTCTTGTTTCACCACTCGCTAATCACATCACAAGATACAGACAAATTACAAAATATAGGAAAAGAAGGGGGGGGGGAGACATTTCTCAACGGTATGTTATCGACACTCTTCTTAATTCCTTTAGTCCAGAAGGTCTAGTGAGAGCATAGACAATAATAATACATACACACATACTATCTGAAATAAAAAAGTGAAATTAAAAAAATGAGCCAGATTTCTTTTTTTACAATCCTTGAACAAATTTCTTTTTTTATAAAAATGTACTTACCCATACTTCAGATGTGAGAGGGTCCTTGAACAGATTTCTTTTTTTTACAATCCTTCAACTTAATACAATCCATTTAAAGTCCTTGCATTTCTTATTTTGTAGGTCATGAGCAAACCTCTTGCAACGAAGCGTAAAAAGATCTTTTATCCTCCTCTACATGTGACAAATCTTGCGAGGATGAATCAATCCAAATCCTGCAGCCAGCAAGTTGATGGAAGCAATGTACCAAGGATGAAAATAAAGCACGTTACAAGCAAGTTGCGAAAGCAAGTTCAGAGTGTAGATGTGCAATTGACAAAGACTAAATCATTACAGGGACATAAGGTCCAAGAGGAGAAAAGGCAAAAGAAAAAACATCTTGGAAAGAATCATTTGCAAGTGAAGACTCGATCAGGAAAGGGACGGAAAGATCCTCAGAAACTTGATAAAAACAAATTGATGGAGAAAGAGAAAGAGTTAGAGAATATTCAATTAGAAAATGGAGATTATGAGGAAGATTTTATAGAGTCTGACAATGAGGTGATAAGGGAAGATGAAG